ACAAAGTTTGGAACAAGTTTCAAATTTAATCCCTTGCAGGTGCCTCGCAGGCCACATTAGAGACCAAAGCCTTGTTGGCACTGATGGTCAAGGCTGCAAATGTTTCAGTCTCACCTGCTCTGCAGTGATCACAATGCGTAAAAGTGTCTTCTTTTCTCCGTCAAACAGACACTGCAGCAAAACAGATGCAGAGAATACAACCCTCCCCACCTCCAGCCTTGTGCACATGGGGTTGTGCTGTAATCTGGACAAAGCGTTTATAACTCCGTGCAGATAAAGTGCTGCACTGTACCCAGTGTGCCAGAAAAAGCAGAGAGAGACGGGGAGAGATAATGACATCCTATACCAGAGGCTCTAATTAGACTGCACAGAAGGACTCCAGAGAGAAGGCAGGAAAACAGGGTGCAGAGGAGAAGAAACAGAAACGGGAGGGGGGAATGCTTAATATTGCATTTTATTTGAGGTCTAAATGTATATAAGATTCAGATTAAGAGTGAGATTTCATAGAGAGGGTGAAGACACCTGCAAGAACTACGCGTTGTTCCGACAAGTGACAGCACTTTTAATGGCGATCTTGTAACTTTACACCGGCGTGTGTCATTTTCACATGAGCCCTTCCTGTTAAAAGATTTGCTGGAAACCAAATTGGAAAGGAAAACGACAAACTTAATGGGATTTTGCTGGTGTCAAAGATAAAAGAACAACACTTTATCAGCAGCGAGACAGTAAAACTAAATGTCACACTTTCAACACACCTGGCAGATGTGTTTTTTAAAGCATTGTAACTTTTTTAAATTTCTGTTTGTGTGTCCAAAAATAACTGACATCTCTTACTCGCATTGAAGAAATCCTTTCAGTTATTCCACATTTTCTGCACTGCCTGTTTTTAAAGCACAGCTGTTTGCATTTTCGATGCTTGCTGTGTGTTTTTATGAAGATAATGGTCAAAGTATGGACGGCGATTCTGTCTGTAACAAGCAGCTGCCTTGTGGCAACAGAGAGCGTGCTCTTCTGGTGCGTTCTTCTTCATTATTGGGCACTGAAATCAATGAAGTAGCTGCCGCTTTTTTCCCTGCTGGAGCTCATATGTCACCTTACAAATTAGTGATCATATCTTGACTCGTTGCCATCTTTTTGTTTTGCGATGCCGTACGGTCTGATTTTTTTTCTTTGTTATTCGTCAGAGTTTTCAGAAAAACAAGCATCAGAAGCTTTTTTTTTTGCTGTCTTTCGGTTTCTGCTGTGTATTTGTCACATAATTAGATCCTTCTGTTCGCCCTCCAGTCTGTGTAAACAACAGCAGCGTGCATCAGACGTTGAGACAAACCATTAAAAGAACATGTTCATGTCTAAACGGAGATGGATGCACGTGGATGAACCAGCTGCAAATTCAGCCTATGTAATTTAAATATTTTCAAATTTAAATGGAATTATCAAAGAAATAGCAGTCATGTTTTAGAGGATACAGTTTGAGAAGTGTGTTTTTGTCAATGTCAAGTCAAATAGTGACGTAAAAAGTTCAAGTTCTTAAAAACCAAAAGGTCGGAGTGTTGGAAAGCAAGTAAACCAAGATCTGAGTTCCAAATATTTATAAGCAATTCAGCAGATAATATCTTACCTGTTATAGATTGATTTTAAAACAGACTCCATCCATCCATCCGTTATCTTTACCTGCTTCTTCCTTTTCGGATCACAGTGTGAGAGGCGAGGGACACACTGAACAGGTCTCCAGTCCATCACAGGGACACATAGAAACAAACGAGACTAAACTATTCACTCTCTCACTCACACCTAGGGACAATTTAGAGTTACCAATCAGCCTAACATGCATGTTTTTGGTCTGTGGGAGGAAACTGGAGTACCTGGGAAAACCCACACATGCACAGAGAGAACATGCAAACTCCACCCAGAAAGGCCCCAGCCAGGATTTGAGCTTGCGACCTTCTCACAGAGAGGTGGTAGCTCTACCAACTGCGCCACCGTGCCACACTTAAACAGACTTCGTTTGGAAAAATATTTTAATTCTTATCAGACTGACAAGCTAAAGGCTAGTTTGAATAGAGTAGAGGACAAAGTGAATTTTATTGTTTTAAAGAACTCGTACTGCACAAGTTTTACAGTGAAAGCTCTTATAACTATTTGTTCATGTCCTTTCTAGAGGACCCTAATACTGCTAATTTAAAGTATATCTTTAAAGACTTGTCAGTGGAAACACACGTTATCCAGAACAATTTTTTCTAGAATTAGCTTTGTAAATAAATATGGCATCATTTCTAAACATTTCCTCATCCACAAAGAAACACAAAAAACTACCCGAAACACTGTAGGAGCTATGCCAGGCCTGAAGGTGGTGCTGTAAGGCTGCCACAAAAACACACCAAAAACAGGAAATATGCTAAAAGTGAAATGTTCTTTATAACGCTGCCGAAAATACAAGCAACTTACAACACGATTGCACAACAAAGTTTTTTTTTTTTTGTTTTGTTTTTTTTTATAATAAACCTCTACAGTAGTCCCTCGTTCATCGTGGGGGTTCCGTTCCCAGCCCCATCGCAATAAGTGAAAAACTGCAAAGTAGGGATAGTGGTGCAATAGTAGTTTATTTTAGTACAT